GGTCCGCTTACCTGACAGCCCTCATCTAGCCGAGAGGGATTCTTTCCCACCTTCCCTGTCTCCTGGCCTCCTCTGCCAGACCTTGGTTCTGACCCAGGCTCTGACCTCCTTGCCCAGGTACCTGCTGGAACAGCGCGATGTGGAGGTGAATGTTCGAGACAAGTGGGACAGCACGCCCTTGTGAGTGCCACCAGCGTTGGGGGGGTCGGGGGCTGGAGGTGGATTGGTCAGGTAGGCTGGGAGAACGCTTCCACTGACAGCTGATTTCTGCCTCCTCCCTTTCCTCAGATACTATGCCTGCCTGTGTGGGCATGAAGAGTTGGTACTCTACCTTTTGGCCAATGGTGAGGGGATAGGATCTGTGTGTGTGTGTACATGTGTGAGCAGGTGTGCATGTATGCATGCATGCACGTTTATTCAAAGCTATGGGTACATTTGTGCAGACGTCTAGAATCACCCATAGTTCCTCTGGCCCCCGCATCCAGTCAACATGCCCTACCCTCTGGCTAGTTACACCTTTAAAGCAGACTCTCTTCCATCCGCTTCCCCCACCTCCACTGCTGCCACTAACCCGGGCTGAGCTACTAGCACATCTGCCTAGATGCAATGCAAGCTCCTTACTGGCACCTGGCTTCATATTCGAGTAGGGTGACCCTCAGTGAAAAAAAAACAAAAACCTTTTCCTATGACTTCCCATTTCACGTAGAACAAAGCTCTTTGCTCTTACCTCACGGTGTATCTGAAGTTGTATGTCTTGCCCATCTGCTCCTCTCCCCTCTCCCCTCCCCTCATCTTGGGCCTTGCCCCCCTGTTGCTGCCACATCACCTTCTTTGCTGTGCCAACACAATCCTGCCCCTGCCCTGTAGCCTTTGCACCTGCTGTGCCTTCTGTGCTGGCCACCCTTTCCCAGACCTGGCCCTCAAGTCTCCGTCCATTGTCACTGCTGCCGCGGCCACCCTCTTTCTTCCTGTCCCTCTGTAGCAGCTGGTGTGCAGTCTGGCATGATTTGTTTCTTTGTTTGTGTGCCCCACCTTTACTGGGCTGTGAGCTTGCTGTGGTGGGGGCCTGTCTTGTACCGAGTGTAGGGCAGAGGGTACCAGAGAGCCTGCTCGGGGTTTTGTATGGCATGTGTGAATGAATATGTGCATAGGTGAGTGTATGTGGACATGCGTGTGTTCCTGTGCCCTGGCCAGGAGGATGCTGGGTTACAATGGACCCAGGGTAATATGGGAAGTTGTTTCCAGGACACGGGCCTATGGGAATGGAGGTAGGGAAGAAGGGCAAGGAGGTTAGACTTTCTCTAGGCTTGAGTGACATCATTCCAGGCTTGCCTGAGGCCCTTCCTCAGCCACTGTGTACACCTGATGCCCTGCTGACTAGGAGCTCTGAGCGCTGTCACCCCTTAGGAGCCCGCTGTGAGGCCAACACCTTCGATGGAGAGCGCTGCCTCTATGGAGCGCTGAGTGATGCTATTCGGCGGGCACTGCGAGACTACAAGCAGGTCACTGCCTCCTGCAGGAGGCGGGACTACTATGACGACTTCCTGCAGCGGTAAGATAGGAGTTGGCATGCCCGGTGGGTGCCCAAGCGTCAGTGTTGGGGAAATGAGCTTGTTGCATGTGGCCCTAGTGGGGCTGTGGGATCTGCCCAGGGGCAGGAGAGAGGGCCACCGAGGACCTCTGCCCCCATGTTTTCCCCCATCTCCCCCCAGACTCGTCGAGCAGGGCACCCACAGTGATGTGGTATTTGTGGTGCATGGGAAGCCATTCAGGGCACATCGCTGTGTCCTGGGGGCACGCAGCGCCTACTTCGCCAACCTGCTAGACACCAAATGGAAGGGCAAAAACGTCGTGGTCCTCAGGCACCCACTGGTGCGTCCTTTCAAGGGGTTGGGTCGCCTGGTTTCCCAGAGATGGATGGAGGGAGGGCGTGTGCTGGGTGGCTGCCTCTGACGGCCACTGCATTGTGTCTTGTGCCTGCAGATCAACCCAGTGGCCTTTGGGGCTCTGCTGCAGTATCTGTACACAGGTGACTCCCTGGGCCCAGGGTGAGTGGGTGGTGAGAGAGCTGCGGGTTTGGACAGCAGCAAACCTAGGGATGGCCTTGGGAGGGGAAGTCCCCCATGGGCTGGCCTTTCACCGCTTCTACTGCAGGGTCCAGCAGTGAGATATGGGCTAGCGTACCCGGCACAGAGTCTGCACACAAATTGCGCCTCTCACCCACAAACTGAGCCCTCCCATCAGCCTCTGGGCCTGTAGCATTTAGTCTGGGGCTCTTTCCTCTTCTCCCTCAACTGTACTTATATCCTGTTGAGGATCCATGCAATTCAGCAGTCCCTACATGTACAATTTAGTGACACTGCTGATATCCTTCGAATTGTGGGACCATTCTTACCGTCCCACACGAACCCACTGCTTCCTGAAGGTCCTGCCTAATCTCTCAAGCTGCATTGTTAACTCTGCCCCACATTGCTAGTTCCTAAAAGGGCAGACCTTTCTGACTAGCTAAACTAGTGGATTTGAAGAAAACTTCCAAGGATAATTTTGGTTTAAAGTTTAAGAATTATCTCAGGGCCATAGTTTGAGGGATTCATTCACCCTCCGTGGCTCTGGAGAGTCTAGCACAGTGGTTCTCAACCTTCCTAATGCCACGACCCTTGAATACAGTTCCTCGTGTTGTGGTGACCCTCCCAACCATAAAAATATTTTCGTTGCTACTTCATCACTGTAATTGTGCTACTATTAGGAATCGGGCGACCCCCGTGAAAGGGTTGTTTGCCTCCCAAAAGGGTCAGGACCCACAGGTTGAGAACTGCTGATCAGAATTTAAGATTTTGAAATTCTGTTGTGCACATTCCTCCTTTTGATCAGGATTCTTCTGTGGAATCTTTGATCAAAATGTTTAGTAATCGCAGCTGGGCACCGCCCAGTTCTGGTCGTAGCGGAAAGGGGGCAGTTGTTCTTGGAGGCTGTTAGCTACGCTTTCCGTTTCCTCATCCTGCTTCTGACTTTCCTTCTCCCGTGTTGCGGAATAGAGACGGATGGTGGGGCCTTGGTTGGCTACCTGAAACCTTTTAAGGCTCCAGGCATCATGCACCGAATTAGGTAGAACAGAAGCATTAAACACTTAGGCTAAGAAACTGGGATGTCCCATGAAACCATGACCTTAAGCCTCCAAGGTCGTGTTCTTTTGTAGATGAGCAGCCTCAGCAGCTACTTTAGGTTTATTTGGGGGTTGTAAGTATAGCACACACGTCCTGCTAATTCAATTTTTACCACTCTTCCTGATGGGAAACCAGTACTCTTGGGAGCCCCGGCCATGCAGCCACTACCCCCTTACATGTATCCGAAGGCAGCCGAGGGCCCCTCCAGCCCTGACCTCTCTACCCCTGCTCCCAGGTCGCCTAGATGTCGGCGTGGAACATGTCGGTGACTGCGAGCGACTGGCCAAACAGTGTCAGCTCTGGGACCTGCTCAGCGACCTTGAAGCCAAGTGTGAAAAGGTGTTTGAGTTTGGTGCGTCCGGGTATGGGTTGCAGGCCTGGGCGGGATGTGGGCTGAGCCCGCCTGGCCCCTGACTCTTGGTGCTGTCTGCCGCAGTGGCCTCGAAACCCGGCACGTGTGTAAAGGTCCTGACCATTGAGCCACCTCCAGCGGACTCTCGCCTGCAGGAGGACCTGGCGCTGCTCGCCGGCTGTGCCCTGCCCCCTGAGCTCCGCGTGAGTGCAGGCCGAGGGCTGCAGGGACCGGGCCTCTGGGAAGCAAACCCCATGCCCTTGAGTTCAGGGCCTTCCTGCGACTGCACCAGGCCCTCCCCCTTTCTGAGACAAGCTACCATGGCGCAACTGCCTGCTCTGATGAGGACTCCTGGCCCTGTTTCCCCAGGGCGATCTTGGGGAGCTGCCCTTTCCCTACCCCGATGACTTCAACAGCTGCCCTGACATCTGTTTCCGAGTGGCCGGTTGCAGTTTCCTTTGCCACAAGGTGCCCACCTCCTTCCTCTGCCCTTACCCCTGCTGTGAGCCCTAGGCTCTTCCTCGGGGACGGGCCTGGGTCCTGGCCCTTCCTGAACTCAGACCTCCCCCCAGGCCTTCTTCTGCGGCCGCAGCGACTACTTCCGAGCCTTGCTGGATGACCACTTCCGAGAGCAGGAGGAGCCAGAGACCTCGGGGAGCCTCCCAGTGATCACTCTGCACGACATCTCCCCTGACATCTTCACCCACGTGCTTTACTATGTGTACAGCGACCACACTGAGGTGCGGGCGGGGCTGGCACGGGCCGGTGCAGGCTGGGGCCTTGCTAAAGATGGAGCTTAGAGGGAGCACTCGGCCTGTTTGATGGCCGGTGGAAGCTCCTGGTTGGTTCTGTAGGTGAAGTCCTGCTGAAGCTAGACAGGAAGGTTGTGTGACCTGTTGGGGGTTTGCTCTGAGGGGAAGGGGGTGGTGGCAGGTCCCAGGGCAGGGATGAGCAATTATCTCGAGCACTTGACACTGATGCCAGCTACCTGGGGTTCCTAAGTCCTCCAGGTGGGAGGCAGGTGAGGGTGAGCTCCTGGTCTGCCCTCCTGCCCTTGGGGCTGCTCTGTACTCTTGGGGCTTGTCGGTTCATGTTACCTCTTGCTGCCACCCCTTTCTTTAATTGACAAGGCATCCCTCCAGGACCCTGTGGGCATTAGCAGGAAGAGACTTGCTCTGCTGGTGTGTGTGTGTGTGTGTGTGTGTGTGCGCCCCCCTTTTAAGAGACTGATGTGTGTGTACCCCCCTTTTAAGAGACTGGTGTGTGTGTACCCCCCTTTTAAGAGACTGATGTGTGTGTGTACCCCCCTTTTAAGAGACTGATGTGGAGAAAAAAATGTGCTTCTCCTCATCTGGAGTCAGTGCCACCAGACAGCTGACTTGCTGAGGACCCAGGCTGTTTTCTCCACCTGGGTCCTGCCATGTCGTAGAGCAAGGGTCAGCAGGCTCTGTGCAAAGGACCAGATGGCCATATTTCAGGCTTTGCGGCCAGATGGTCCCTGTCACAACTGCTCAATTCTGTTGTAGCAGCGTAAAAGCAGCCCGCACAGAGGCTGCACAGAAACGGTCCTGGCCATGTTTCCATCAAACTTTATTTACAAAAACAGGTCGGGGATCTATTCGTTTCCTGCCCTGCTCTGTCTGGAGACTAGGCCCCAGGCAGCGGTGGGGGTGGGGGTGGGGCGGGGGAGTCGCACAGGCTCCTCTTCTAGGAATTTCGTAGGTAGCCAGCCTTGCCCACAGGGAAGGAAGGTGGACCCTGGGTGGGCAAGCCCATCTCTGTGAGAAGAGACTACAGTCCCTAATGATCTCTCTGCCTGGCTCCTCCTTTCGGCTGTCTGACCTCGACCGTCTAGAGCCCGCCTTTGCCTATCCCGTCCCCCCTCCTGAAGGAGCCTTGCTGGCCTGAGGGGCAGCAGGAGAGCAGGGCAGTGCGGTGTAGAGCATGGGCCATGAATCAAAACCGGCCGCCTCTGCTCCCAGCTTAAGCCTGTGCGAGCTCCTTGCTTCTTGGCAAGTGACATAACTGCCCCAGGCCTCAGTTTCTCCATCTGGAAAGGGGGGCTTGTCGGTACTCACACGGTCTTGTGCACGTCAGACTCCGGCTTGGTGCAGGGTGCACGGTACCATTGGGCCTCACCCCCACCTGTTCCCTACAGCTGCCCGAAGGCCGGCCTGACGGGGATGGGGGGAAGGGGAGTCATTTGTCTGAATACAGGATCCAACTATAAATCTCACTGGCCTCTGGGAGAGGAAGGGGGCTGGCTCAGTACCTCTACCCCTTGTCGGAGTGGCATGCCACCCTTGGCAGGTATTGACTAGCAGCTTCTGTTTCATTTTCCCGACAGCCTTTTGAGGCGGGCCTGATTACCTGCACCTCACAGATGAGGAAACTGAGACACAGAGGCTAAGTGTCTTGCCCAAGGTCACTCAACTAGAAAGTGCCTGAGCCGGGCCTTGTACCCCGGGTCCATGTGAGCTCAGAGCTCAGCCTCTTTCCCTCGCTCACTCACCCCAGGGATCCTGACTGGCTCTTGAACTACGGGGGTACTACCCACTCCCCATCTCTTCTGCCCCTGTGTTGGTGGGCCCTGTGGGAACGTGGCAGGGCACAGGCGCATGTGTGGGGAGGGGCTTCCTGCCTCATGGTGGGGCATCCCAGGTCTTGGTGACCTGGCATGACCCTCTCTATCCCCTGCAGCTGCCCCCTGAGGCGGCCTATGACGTGCTCTGTGTGGCTGACATGTACCTGTTGCCAGGCCTCAAGCGGCTGTGTGGCCGCAGCCTGGCCCAGCTGCTGGACGAGGACAGTGTGGTGAGTGTGTGGCGAGTGGCCAAGCTGTTCCACCTGGCCCGGCTTGAGGAGCAGTGCACCGAGTACATGGCCAAGGTCATCGAGAAGGTGAGCCGGCTTCTTCGGCGGACAGTGATGGGGTGGGGGCCTGGCTCCTTCTGAGCCCACCTGTCCCTCCCGCAGCTGGTGGAGCGAGAGGACTTCATGCAGGTGGTGAAGGAGGAGGCGGCAGCTGTGGCCGCCCGGCAGGAGACGGACTCCATCCCGCTGGTGGATGACATCCGCTTTCACGTGGCCAGCACGGTACAGACGTACAGCGCCATTGAGGAGGCGCGGCAGCGGCTGCGGGCACTGGAAGACCTGCTCCTGGCCATGGGCCTAGACTGCTAAACCTGCCTGGCACTGGGGCCCGTGCGGCCGCAGCTAGCACTTCTGCATCTGGGGAGGCTCACCTAGGGACAGGCCCTCTGCCCCGAAGCATGAACGCGCCTCCACGCCTGGTGCTGGGCACCACTCAGGGAAACCCAGGGCCACTCATCCCCTGCTGCTTCCACAGCCTTGGGCGGGGCTGGCTTCCCCGCTTGCTTCTTGGACCTGGCATCCCACCTGTGCTGAGCCAACCAGGCAGGTGCAGGAGAGCCTGTGTGTGGCAATAAAGCTTTCATTTCACGTAGGAGAGCCTGAGCCTTTGTGGGCGCCACCATGTCCAGGGCAGGTGGATGTTGGACTCGGGGGTGGTGGGGGCAGGAGCCCTTCCCACTGGGACCTCTGCTGAGGGCCAGGAAGGAAGTTATCTGAGACCGTCTCAGCTGAGACAGTGCCCTCTCGCCACGGGACAACCCCGAAACCTTGCAGTTGGGTCAGCAAGTTCACCTCAGGACACACAGCTGCTGTGCTGGGCTCCTCTTGGCCAGTTCAGATGGACACCTCCTGGAGGTGCCTGGAGGGCTGGCCTAACAGCCACAAGCCCCACAGGAAGG